TGCACATCTTTTCGAAGGCGACGGTAGCTGAGATCCATTAACTATCATTGTTGCAGTCGAGGCACATGGACTCATCATTCTTTTGTTTGTCGAGGCATTTAGTATCCTTAGTGATACCGGACTCGAGCTAGGCCTAGTGACATGGGGTATGCCATGTGGCCTTGCGGGCTAAATCCCCTACACTCTTATCAAAGGAAACCTCTTATAATAGCATTTCACATAAATAGTTCATTTAAATATTTGTTGTAAATCTCACAAAATTGTGTCAGTTCGATGGTTAAATGTTGAGATTTCATGGTGGTTGTCATAAGTAAATATGTCGATAACATTATTCAACTTGGAAATTGTCTTGAACAAGTTATTGGTTCCTTCCAAGCTTAAGAAATTCTGACAAATATGAATTTCGACTAGTAAAATAAAAATGCAATGGATTCCTGTGTGAGAGGCAGGTAGCACTTCATATTATACTTTCCTTTCTTGAGATTTTAGTGTCAATATACTCCATGGATACTAGTAACAGAGATTTGATATTATAACCAGGGGCGAAGCTATTCATGGGCTAACCTGGGTTAGCCCAAGTCCAATTAAAAAAAAAAATAGTACTACTGTTCCTATAAGCCCCTGTACTACCCTTCATCTTCCTATCAGTCATTCAGCCCAACCCAATCCATAGTAAAACATAACAGGACCCAACCCAGCAAACCAAACACATTGTTAGTTTATGGAAAAAGACCTAAACTTTTCGACTCTTTTTGTGTAAGGCATACACTAATACATAAATCATAATTCGGTACAACAGAGGTAAGGGTTTGAAACCCTAAATCGCATAATCAGGTGGCTCCGGCGGCGGCCGTATGAACGGTGGAAACTACTCTTCCTTTTCCTCACAACATGTGGTGGAAACTCCATTTACAGGTGATTTTTTATTTTCATCATTGCTAAATTGGGTATATCTTAATCTAATTTTTTATGTCTGAGTTGGATGGATATCATTGATTATTATTGTTAATTTAGTGAAATATTGGTTTTTGTTTTGTCAAAAAAAAAAAAGGAAAAAAAAAAGGCTTTGTTGATTAGTTGATGACTCCATGGACCATCATTGTTAATCTATGAACACTGGTCAAACACAGTATGACTACAAGGTGTATCAAACCTTACTTGGTATTTGGTAATCCTATGAGCTAAATTATACAGAGGCGTGCATGACTATGGTTTTAAGATGATCATCAACGAGTGTCCTACAACCTGATGAATATAATGTGTCCGTTTTCCACTGAAGCAATTCTTTATTTAATTGAATCAAACTTAACGAAAAATCAAAGCAAAGTACTCCACCTACAGGAGGAGATACGGGAGACTAGATTGGTGAGAAGTGATTAAAGGAGTTGCATAAAAATTGAAATCTCTAATTTTAGCCCAGTGTGGTTGGAAAGAAATGAAAAAAAGAGAAAGGAAATATGGGAATATGATTTTAATTTATATTTGGTATAAATATTTGAAAGGAAAAGAATGGGAATGAAAAGATGTTGAGGGATACGTTAAAACTTGATGAGTTTATTTTGTTATCCTTCCAAAATGGAAGGATAGGGAAAGAAAGACTAACATTTTTAATGTAACTCTATTAATATCAAATTTGCCCTTATTTTTATAAGAGACAAAATCTATAAAAAAAATGGTATGATAGTAAATTTATTAAAATAGTTTCATTTTCTTTCATTCCCCAACATGATTACTATCATTTCCTCGTTAATCAACTAAACACGATAAATGGTTAACACTATCCTCTCATTTTCTTTTCTTTTTTCTCTTGTAAATAATGTTATTATTTATTTTCTTTTCCACTATACCAAACATATACTTTGGAATGAGTTCGCTTTAGGGACAAGCTTATACTCAACTTGTACAATTAAGTTCTATTATATTAGTTGGTTTATCTACGAAGAAGTGTGAATGTTAAATTTTTATTTTTTCCATAATATTCTGGCTCTGATACCAATTGTAACGGGTGGGCACTTGCTCATTTACCCAAAAGCTCAAACTATTAGGTAGTGTTGTATACCTACCCATTTATACCCAATCACTTTCTCATCCGATTTTGATGTGGGACAAATGACCCTTGTTATATTCTTCCCTACCTAAACTCGCAACACCCTCGTTGCGGCTCGGGCCACCCTGCCTACTGAGGGTGCTCATTCGGACGCCTTCTGGGTCGGGCGCTTGGCGTGACACCAGATCAAAGATTGGGTCTGTCTCTGACATCAACGGTAACGGGTGCGCGCTTGCTCATTTAGTCAAAAGCTCAAACTATTGGGTAGTGCTGTATACTCACTCATTTATACCCAATTACTTTTCTATCCGATTCCGATGTGGGACAAATGACATTTCTTACAATAGTCCTCTTGGTTACAAGAAAATGCAACTAATTCTTTGACAACTAACCATATTAATATATATTATATATTATTATTGTTTTGACATTTTTGCTATATTGGTATCATAACATTTTAATTTTCTTTTGCTCTTAGTGCTCCAAAGACTCCCACATGCATATTTGTATATAATTTTAACTTTTTTTTCTCTAAACGCCATCTAATAAAAATGTATGAGAAAAAAAAAATATATGTATCTTTATTCAAAATGAAAGAACATTAGTATAATTTCTCAAATTTCTCTCTTGAATTCATATAATTAATTGCATACATTCATGTCTATTATTGTAAATGTAATTATAGTAATAATATGCTAGAGTGAGACACATCATAATAGTGAACTTATATTTTTCTTTCATAGGATTGGATTCAAATAAGCCGTAAAAGGTTTAAGTTATGAATTAAAAAAATACAAGTGTTTATTTCTAAATTTATTATTTTTTATAGCCTAATAAATAAGTGTTTTGTAAAAAAATTGGGGTCTATGAATTATGGAACAAAAGGTTGGACTTAAAGTCCCGTGCATATAACTCCCTGCATTATTTATCTTTTGAGCAAATTGCCCCTTATTGAATAAATCTGTTGAAATATAGCCGTCGTTGATGTCATTTGAAAAAAAAAAAAAAAAATCCGAAAATACCATTTTTGTGTAACAAGAATGCGCCTATCAATTTTGTATATATTTAAAACAATGTATGTGTTTGTTTGGATGTCCTTGAAGACCCAGAAATCTCTGGCTCTAATAATTTTTCTCTTTTTCTCTAAAAGAAATAGTCAAATGTACATGGTATATATGAAAAGGGCAAAAAGGAAAAAAAAAAAAATGGTGCTTTCTCTTTCCTCTCACAAATAGGAAGCTAAAAACTCTCCGTAAAAGAAAATAATCACAAACTGGAAATTACTTGTTCCCGTGTTCCATAAATTTAAATTTACAAAGTAAAAATTCATATAACTATAGAAATACAATATTATCTATACCATGTATAAATCAAATATTTATTGTTTTAAAATTTATATTAAAGAATTTTTAATCTATAATTTATTCAACCTATTAAAGTTCTAAAAAATGAATTTGTCTTTTAGAGAAAAAGTAGGGCTCGAGAGTAATTTTACAAAAAGTGATGCCGGAATAAAAGTGTTTTATATATCTAATTTTGGAAAGTTTTTAGTTTCCTGTTTGTGAGGAAAAGAGAAAGTACCATTTTTTTTTCTCTTTCCTTTCTGGTTTTTTATTTTTTTACCATGTAAAAAGGAACTTTTTCTTTTTTAATTATGGCCAAATAAGATTTTATAATTATTCTATTATAAATTCTATATATTTTCCTTCCATTCCTAGAACTCTCAGTCTATAAGAAAATAAAATATATTTTTCTAATTTTTTTTCTCTCTCTAAAATTTATTTGTATAGTTGATAGTATCTCTCTCTGAAACAGAGTATCCAGAATTAGCAAACCCAAGAAATTTCATAGTTTCAGCATTGAGAGGTACTATCAACAAGCCTAAAAAATAGCTATATATCTAATTCTGATCTCTTAAAAAATTCGGTATAAATAGATAGAAATCATAAAAATGGGATATATGAAAAATAGAGAGAAAAATAGATAAAAAATTACTTTTTGTATATTGAGGAGGCTACATCAAAGCAATATTAGAAAAAGTTTGGATCAATTCTATGAGTATTTTCATTTGTGTGAACTTGTTTATTTTTTATTTGTAAATTTTTACATTTACATATTCCTTCTTCAAATTTTAATTTTGTGTATGAATCTAATTTTAATTTTGTGCGAATAAAATTGAGATTGAAGAGAGATATATCGAAGAGAGAGACATGTGTGTGTGTATATATATATAATTATGTATAGTATTGTTATGTTATGACAGGTGGAGAAGGAAAATCATATAATATGAATTTAAGAATAATTTTAACATATACACATTTATATAATTATGTATTGTATTGTTATGTTATGGCAGGTGGATAAAGAAAATCATATAGTATGAATTTAAGGATAATTTTAAGGAAAATCATATAGTATGAATTTAAAGATAATTTTAACATTTTGCCTTTTTTTGTTTTTCCATTTTGTTAATGATAAAGTAAGGTTAATTTAATAATTTTATTATCAAATTATGATTAGTCCTTATTTGCATAAATCCAAAAAAATCCTAATAAGAAGTAATTGTACATTTGTTATATTATAAAGCAATTATTTTTGCACTTAACTCTTTATTTATTAATAATTTTTTAAAAATTTAGATGACTCAAAACAACCCGAAAATCCAGTAAAATCTATGTAAATATAACGGGGAATGAGAACGTTTTTTTTTTTTTTTTTTGGTTAAAAGGTGAGCTTGGAATGAGAATGTTTGATACACATGTTTGTTTAAACTTTTAAAGAAAAAAAAAAAATTATTGTAATTATATTACACGGTCTTGATTCCTTTTGGACGGTGATTGCCACGTAGATTGCTGTAATGACTGCCAGCTTGGTTCTTGGCGGGCGAGTTAGTAATTGCATTGGAAACATCGATTGCCCTAAACGCTCCCTCTAAAGAAAAAGAAAAAGAAAAAGAAAAAAAATATCTTAATGACAACGTCACCTCCAATTTTTGACTAATGTGAACCTTCGTATCTTCTTCCTAGCACCTCTCTCTCTCTCTCTAGAACTCACCAATCCCTAACCGAAAGCCCCTCTCTCTCTCAACTCACCGATTCTAGGGTTCTTTTAGATCACCGTTCCCAATTCTGAATTTCTTCGATACCAATTATTACCGATCTATTCGATTTTCCCTATTCTTTCTTCTTGTCGGAGAAAATTGACGGTCGATGAACGTTTTTTTTTTTTTTTTGTTGTTGTGATCTAGGATTTCGAGTCATTAGTTTCCTTTGAATCTTCCATTATAATTTAACTTTTCTTTGATGAAATCGAGGCTTTGCTTCAAAAGAGCTATCTTGATATTTTAGATATTTTTTTTTTTGAAAAAAATAATGTGTGGTTGATACGTTTTCAAGGTTTGGTTTGGTTATACACCGGAAGTTTTGTACCGAGTTGCTTGATTTTTGGATTTGAGTTTTGTTTCTCTCGTCTGTTTTCTTAGGGTTCTTTTTAGGTTTTTTTCTAGTGTTCATAATGGTGAGTTCGGAGGGTTTGAGTGCTTCTTCGCCTCTGCCGCATCAGCCGCCGAAGCAATATGGCGTGACGAGTCCAATATCTTTAGCGGGACCTACAGAGGCTGATACACAGAGAAGCTTGGAGCTTGAGAAGGTTTGTATATTGATCTTTTGATTAAAAAGATTGATTGCTTTTCATGCTAAGTTGGCTTTTCTGAAATTCTTGTTTTCCGGTATGCTAGTTTTTGGTTGATGCTGCTCTTTATGAAAGCGAGGAAGAAGCTGCCAAGAGAGAGAAGGTTCTTGATCGTATTAAGCAGGTAATTGTACTTCTCTAGATCCCTTATAATCTTTCCTTTCTTGGTATATTTACATTATGTTGAAAGGAGTTGAAAGTTTTTATAGAATACACTCGAATAACTGCAACTGATATAGAATATGGCTTTTATATCTAGGGCAGACTTATGAAAGGAAATTCCTAAACTAGGATTTGTGACAAACATAAAAATCAGGAAAAGTTAGTCAATTCTAACAATATATACAATTCAGATCCTCAACTGTGTTCTCCAGTGCATGAAAAGACAAAATCCGTGAAACATGTCCAAACTGTTTATGCTGCGTAAGTCAGTCGGGTCTAGTTGGATGAGTATGAAACGGGGATGACCTATAAACATTCCATTATTGGGGGAAGAAGGCATTTTGCAATTTTCTTGTTAACCACTTGCGATGTGATGCAGATATCCAGATATCCGATTTTTAATTAAAAATCAATTTCTAGAAACTTAAAAAGCTGGCTTTGAAGTTGACCGATTTTTATAACATTATCAAGGGCCAAGAAGGTTATCTCACAAACTTCATAAACTACTGGATATTGATTTGGGGATGTTTGGGTCAAACCTGGTAAGGGACGAAACTTCACCAGGCTGTGATTACAGAGGTGTTGGAGTTTGGTTAAGGTCTGAAAGTAGCAGTAAGAAATCCTGAATCCCTATCATTGTTGTTGCTCTCGTGCCACGTTGTTATCATCACCATTGCTAACAAAACCGTTGGTGCACATGGTTAGTGTCACACTGGCATTGTCGTCTCTGTTTGTCATCCCTAGAAAACCAAGTTTGATACTCATTTGTTTAATGCTTCTGGAGGATTTGAAGTAAAGTACCCAGATTTGACCCATATCAGATTTATCAATACCTCTGCTTTCTGCTCTTTCCATCTCATTGCATTGTATCTGTCGAACATCATAAGTGTCGCAATCTCTCCATCACCATCTCCTCTTGTTGGTCACATAGCTGATTTTCAACCCGAGGATGGTCTATATGGTTCATAAGCTTGCAGATCGGGAAAAGAAAAAGTAGAATTTGAAACACATAACCCATATTTGGATTAACAGATTCAAAGTTGGCCCATTTAATGGGGTTTAATTTGCAACCCAGAGTCAGACTTGGATTCTGTTAGCATTGTCCAGATCCAATCTATTTCTTGTTTGACCCTGACCCATATTGGCCCAGATTCACAAAACCGATTGGATAAAACCACTCCATAAAACCGGATTTCTGATGGAACTGTGTAGATCTTGTTTATGGTTTGGCCTTACAAGTATAGTTTAGTTAATATAGAGAAGTTGTTACCTTTGAATTTAACTAGGGTTCGTCAGCTGAATTAAACCTTTTCTTTTTATTATTATTATTTGTTCTTAAGAACAGAATTAGTTTCTTCTTCAAATGATAAGTTCGAAAAAGAGCTCATCATGCCGGGAATAGGCTCCTTGCACCTCCATTTTCTATTGATTAACTCCTCAGTCTCTCTGATTTTGTCCAATATAAAACAAAAAATCCAGATAAATGCAAGATTCAATGCTGCACTCTATACGAGGGCACCTTATTTGAAGTAACTATTGAGACACTTGGATATGGATGTGAAAATTTTAACTCATCTTTTGCCTTAGTGAGATGATGATGATTTCTACACCAAATAAGCTTTTCAATTATAAAGAAATGGGGATTTTTTAATCTAACTGTAATGGGCCTAATGGGCTTTGAGAAATTCCCTTAGACGTAGATATCTGGTCATTTTTATATAAAAAGGCTATGTTGATACTGAACATGGTTGCAGAAGTTGTTGCCATACATGGTGATACTTCATTTGGTTGTGAGGAGTTGATTGTTGGGATGTTTAACCACTTTATAAAGGTGAGAAGAGGTTTGGAAACCTTTACTGCTATGCTTACATAAAGTATCTTTTAGAGGCAATGCTATGTCACTGCCTCCAGTGGTTTTGCAGTAATAGTTGCTTCCATATGCCAAGATGCTTTTGAAGGGAAGCATCTGGAAGATTGTTCATGATTCTAGATGTGTAAAGGGGCTAAAGTGTGTGTGCAAGATGCAATTTTTCTAGGTGGAATTTGTTATTGATTGAGGATCTTCTAAGTTAATAATCGGTGATGGCCTTGCTCGAATAATGGGTATTGACTCGGTAAATGGTTCAAATTTTTCTGAAGACATTAGTGTGTTATTGTAAGACTAAGAAGCATGAAGGTAGAGTAGAGGCCCAACCTGAAAATCTTGACTCCTTAAATGAAGTCATACCAGAGGCAGAACGACTGGCAGTTTGAAAGAAAAGGGGCCCAAAACCTTCTTTTTTTGATGAAACTAATAGAGTTATGCAGTCATTCATGGATTAGTGGAGTGAAACTGAAGCAGCAGCAATATGAAAATGTCAAATCTTCTTTTTGCTGTTCAATTCAAGTAATGAAAGGTCTCCATGGTTATGAAAGGTTTATTCTCATATGTACCAAGGCAAATCAAATGGTGAAATGAGAACTCAAAACAAATCATGATAAAAAAAATTAAGCAGGCTTGCATTTTGTGCACCTAGTGCACCTGCGGTGAAGTGTGTGCCTTCTCGAACTCACGTCGCCTTGATTTATGGGAGGTGCCATACTTGAGCTGGCGCGCCTAGTGCTTTTGTTGTGTGTGACCCCCTTTATCAACTGTAGGAACACAATCTATTTGAGGATATCATGTTGTAGTTGTTCCCAATCTCTTGGAGCAATACTCTTACGACAACCGTTTAAAGGAGAGTTCTTCTGATCTACACAGAGTATTGGTGGGATCGAGATAAGACCCACAGGCATGTGTCACACATGATCCTTACCTATGTTACGTGTAGGGGCAAGGATAGATAAAGAAAGGAATTAACGATCTTTTTATTTTATCTTATATATATTTTATATTTTATTTATATTTTGAGTGTTCATCTTTATTCAGTAGTAATTTTTTATTGCTTTGAGTTGGTCTATATAAGGTCTTCATGTAACGAAGAATGATCTTTTTGAGAATTTAGAAAAAACAGATTATTTTGTTCCTCTTGTTTAATTTCTTCTTTTCTCGTCTTTCTATTTTTCTTTCCCCTTGCATCAATATTGATTCTAGTCATGCTACCATGGTTTGATTCCTCTAGTTGGTGAAGGAACAATCGAGTATTATTTGTGTGAGTTGGTGTTGGCTAATACTCAGGGACATTCCTTGTTGTCTTCTAAATAATTGTAGAAGTAATAATTCATTGTGAGGAGTGAAGAAAAATAAAATGGATGTAATGTAGAATTGAATAACCTTAGCGGCATCTGATAAGCAGTACTACACCATATTAATGTTTAAAAGATTTTTGAATGAAGATATATTCGAAAGAGCAAAAATTACCATGAAAGCAACAGCATGACTCTTGTGAATGGGGGAAAATGAAGTTTACTATTCCTCTTACCTATTTTACATATCAATGGATAAAAGCATTTTAATTGGTTTTTGTTTATTAAAAACAATGCATCTTAACTGGTTTTTAGCTATTTGTATGTTTGCCATCCAGTCTAGCCAGTTTGTATTTTTTTTTTCCCCCCTCTTGACTCTATGTTTACATATTATTTTTGTGCTAATGAATGGTAACATTGTTTTGTTTTAGATTGTGAAAGATTGGGTGAAACAACTCACTCGCTTGAGAGGGTACTCAGATCAGATGGTTGAGAATGCAAATGCTGTGATATTTACTTTTGGTTCTTACAGACTTGGGGTAAGCGTGTGTATGTTTGCCTTTGTTTAGTGTACTACCCTCTTCCTCTTCAGATTTTTTGTTAGCATACATAGGTGAGAGTAGTGGCTTTGAAGAACTGATCGGGTATGATACATTCTTCAGCCATAGACGGTTTCAGTTTTATACCGAGGGGAGAACTCATGAAATGCTATGCAAGGTAAAAGTAAAAATAATAGTTTGGGGAAATTTGAAATTGATGGAAGTCATAAACACCTTCAAAACCTTTTGTACAAGTAAATGTAAAACATTGAAAGAGAAGGAGAGGAAAAATTCTGCATTTTGATTGCAGAAGTTACCGGTTGCGTCTTCCAAAAAGAATATGTTTCTTTGAGGTCACATACGATATGTTAACTCCTAGTTTTTGAGGAGATATTCTTTGAAGTATAAGAATTCAAATTACTCTTGGATGAATGGTGATCTTGCCTAAGGTGAAAGGCTAAAGATTTGGTGAATAACCTTGAAAGTTTGGCAGGAGTCCTAGTTGGGTTATACACTTGGGTTATAGGGCTTACATTCTTGGATAAAGACCATGTCAGTTTTACAATGTTTCCTGAGGTATAGTTAGTACTGACTTTGAAGCTACCCTTTGTGGAAATTACAGAACTCTGTAAATGCATGTTTCTATTTTAAAATCTACCGTGTGTTTCTATTTATTTTGTGGTGGATTCTGGCAGTGTTGTTAAAGGTGCGCCCAAGCTCTAGGCTCATACAGGCACAACACTTGTGCTTGTTGTGTGCCCAGGTGCGCCTTTGACAACATTTGCGTCATTAATTTGGAATATGAATATGCTGTAATAGTAATTTAATTTTCATTTGTGCGCCTTGCATCACTCAGGCGCGCACCTCGCCTTGTGCCTAGGCTCCAAAGGACCTCTAGTGCCTTAGTGCACCTTGATAACATTGGATTGTGGATTGTAATTTCCTTTGTTATTATTATTAAAAAAAAAAAATGTTTTAAATGCTTGTTTCTTTTTTTAATGTTTCTATTGGTGGATGCATATATGTATTGGATTGCACGGGTGTTAGGTGGCTGTGAAGTTGATTAGGGTTTTTATTATTGGAATTTGAATTTGATTCTAAAGGTTGGTTTCCTGTCTTGATTGGTCACATTGAACTCCCAAGTCGTCCCAAAAAGTTATTTTTATCGCCCTAGTGTGAATGAATCCTATTTTATTAACCCCATTGAGTATCCCATTTGATTTTACCAAGGATATGGCTTTACAAAGACCTGAAAACAAATATATTTATTTTAAATAGTTGGGTTAACTATAGTTGAATTATCTGTTTCTTTGGTGAACTTAATTGGGTAAACTCCATATTTTTTAGTAACAATTTGTAAAGTCTGTTCGCCTACCTTATTCATTATCTTTGCATAATAACTAAGAAGCATAGACACTTCTAAGGAGCCATACCCGTGTTGGACACCAACTTCTTTGACACTACGAAACATATTGGCTGTGCTCATAATTTAAAAACAAGATCCATAAATTAAGACGTGGCTGGTACTTATTGCAAAGTTGTGACCAAGGAACCTCGAGTGTTTGGTGAAACTTTTTTTAGCATAGATTAAAAAGTAAAATGTAAGATTATTTAAAGTAAGTGTTGGGTAAGACTTTCTTTAACATTTTATTTTTATTTTTATTTTCATGTCCTCGTGGTGTTCCTATCCTTGCGGTGTTTGTGGTGTCGTACCCTTTCAAAATTTGCCATGTTGCATCGTGTCCGTGGCTTGCGTCTGCGTCCTTTGCTTCTTAGAATATTAATCCGGTGTCGTTTAAGCTACTCTATTTGTTTGACCACCTGAATGTGCTTTTACATTTATGGACCTTATCCTTGCATGCATACAATCTTCTTCCTTTGCTCTATTTGTTAGCTTTGTAAATATACTGTTTTCTGAAGTCAAATTTCACTTGAGTTTTCTTTCGAGCACATTTGTGGTATAATATAGCTTTAATGCTTCTTACTTGGTGGAAGACGTGCATGCTCTACAGTAGCATGCAGTTTTGCTATCACGTATGTTCTCATGAAGTTCGGTTGATGTGACTGGATGCTCTTTATATATGAGCATGATTCGATGCTGCTCCAATATTTGGTGATATTGCACATGCTTAATTGTTTGATAGGTTCATGGTCCCGGAGCTGACATAGATACTTTATGTGTTGGGCCGTCTTATATAAATCGAGAGGTATACCATGAATTTAGGTGATTTGTGATATGAAGCTGGATTGTGTTATTTGTATCCGCATCTAATACTAGACTATCTTATCAGGAAGACTTCTTCTTTATACTGCATAACATCTTGGCAGATATGGAAGAAGTTACAGAACTGCAACCAGTTCCAGACGCTCATGTCCCAGTTATGAGATTTAAGTTTGATGGGGTATCGATTGATCTTCTTTACGCAAGTGCATCCCTTTTGGTCGTCCCAGAAGTAAGTGTTAATTAGATTAGGTTCAATAGTTTTTCTTTGTGAAGTTATTTTATTCAACATTGTAGCTTCTTTGGTAGTATTAAGGTGGCTTTTAAAATATGGATGGCACATGACCCTCAAAAATGCTTTTTCTTCACTATTCTTCTTTGTTCCTTTTTTTTGTTGCCCCTTCACTCTTATGAGGAAGTATGGGCTTGGAAGGGAGGTAGGATGGATGGAAGAGTTCCTAGGGACAGCGACTAGCCTTCTCTCTCCTACTGTTAGGTTGAGTAGGAAGGAAATAAGGGAGGGATTAACACTGCTAGGGAAAAACATAGATGAAGATTAAATTTCAAGAGTTTCATGCTTCATATGCATCTCAAGTGGAACCATTTTCTGGAGTTAATTCTACAGTTTATTTGACATGAAATGCATGTGATGAGTGTATGGGGAAGAAAATTTATTGCATATTATGCCCTATGGTTGAATTGACCTCACATTTTGGTATTGCTACTGTCTGATTTTTAATGCACTTGCCATAACATAGTGGTGACAATCATTGTCCCTTTTTGGGTGACATCTATTTACTTGCTATGGTCACTTAAAACTTTGCCATCGTCTAATGTTGAAGTGTGCGAGTTTATGGTTATACATGGTAATTAACTTATGAACAGGAATTGGACATCTCCCATGTGTCTGTTTTGTATGATGTTGATGAGCCAACTGTTCGGAGTCTTAATGGATGCAGAGTTGCTGATCAGATTCTTAAGCTTGTTCCAAATGTTAAGGTGATATTTCTTAAAATGCTCACTTTTACTTTTAACCCCTTTTTGTGGGAAAATAATTGTTGTTACTTTGGTTTTATCATCCCTCACTAACGTCTAAATTATATTATATTAGCATTTTCGCACTACACTCCGTTGTTTAAAATTTTGGGCTAAAAGGCGTGGTGTTTATTCAAATGTAAGTGGGATCTTTCTTTCAGCTCTTTTTAGCATTATTTTTTCTTATGAGAGTTTGAGATTATAATTTTCATCTTTTGTCATCCTGTCTTCTTCAGGTGACTGGATTTCTTGGCGGTGTGAACTGGGCTCTTCTTGTAGCTCGGGTGTGTCAGCTTTATCCCAATGCGGTTCCCAGTATGTTGGTTTCCCGATTTTTCAGGGTATATACGCAGTGGAATTGGCCAAATCCTGTGATGCTTTGTGCAATAGAAGAGGATGCACTTGGATTCTCTGTGTGGGATCCGCGTAAGAATCCTCGGGACCGAACTCATCACATGCCAATCATAACACCTGCCTACCCTTGCATGAATTCTAGCTACAATGTGTCAGTTAGTACTCTTCGGGTTATGATGGAGCAGTTTCAATTTGGTAACAAGATCTGTGAGGTAAGAAGATGGAGAAGGCTCCTTGATCTGTTGATGCAGTATTAGTCTGACTGCTTTCTACTGATCCTCTCTGCGTGTGTTCTTACCTGTTCAGGAGATAGAGTTGAATAAAGACCAGTGGGGTGCTATGTTTGAGCCATATTTGTTCTTCGAAAGCTATAAAAATTATCTGCAGGTTGACATAGTTGCAGCTGACGTTGATGACTTGCGTGCTTGGAAAGGCTGGGTTGAATCACGGCTTAGATACCTGACTCTGATGGTAATATCTATCCCATTTTGGACTGTTAATGGCAAGGGGAAAGCTTCAGTTAACTTCAAAATTTCCCTCTATCCATCTGGATTCATGGACAAGACAATAAAAAAAGAATTTTTAACTTTTATGTTTTCAATGCGACCTTTGCAGATAGAGCGTGACACATTTGGGAAGTTGCAATGCCATCCGTATCCACACGAGTATGTTGATACTTCTAAGCAGTGTTGCCATTGTGCCTTTTTTATGGGTTTGCAAAGGAAACAAGGAGAGAGAGTACAAGAAGGCCAGCAGTTTGATATTCGCTCCACTGTTGATGAGTTCAGGCATTCGGTGAATATGTACATGTTCTGGAAACCAGGGATGGAAATCTACGTTTCTCATGTTCGTAGAAAGCAGATTCCGTCTTATGTTTTTCCAGATGGTTATAAAAGAAGTCGACTGCCAAGACTCACAAACCAGCAGACTGAAAATCAATCTCGGCATGATGGTGAAGTTTGTAGGTCTGGATCTGGTGAAAGATGCCTCAAGAGGAAAAAAGATCAAGAAGAAGGGGTGGATATGAAGCATGATAGTCCAGAGAAACGACAATCAATTAGCTCCCAGCAGCGGGATTCAGTTTCTCCTGAAATTTTTAGTCATAGGTTTGACAGCACCTCTAAGGGGTGTTTGGCATCGTGTTCTATTAAAAGACAAGAAAGTTCAGGAGGCAATAAAGTGTGCCAGCTTGGCATGGCCAAAATGGGTGATGCCCCTATTAACTCGGGGAATGCTGAGACTGGAGCTACTAGGAATGAGTCACGGGAGATGGTAGGTGGAGATAAAGAAACCAGCCTAGAGCTAGTCAAATCAGATAAAGAGATACCATGCTCCAACAATGCCGAGGCTGTTTGCCTCGCAAATTCAAGTGTTGTCACAAACCTTTCAAGGGAGGTCAGCTCCTGGGAGGATGTTGGATTTGAGTCGGTGGTAGGTAGTAGTGAGGGTAACCCAGGAAGTTTTGCAGGGAGTAACAACCAGGGGTCTTCGCAGGGATCATGTGAAGGGGATTCTGAGATGCTTCTGGATAATGGGTGTGACAATGGTGGCAGAGTGTATCAAGCTGGATTGCAGCAAGTGTTAGAGGTTTTGGGTTTAAGTTCTCTTTTGCCCTTTAATTTTCCAGTCTACTTTCGATATTTGTTCACCTCTCTCACAATTATACAGTCCATAAACTCTTCACAATGTCATTAGTTGTCTTAAAGATTTAGTTACTTTTAATTTCCAAGTTTTTGTATATTGACTTGCCATTTAATCTTTTTGGGTAGGGTGGAGTTAGCTTGGAACCTGTGCAGACGACAGTGATAAGGCACGTGTTTTTAATTTCTAAATAGTATTTTCCGAAATTTTTGTGCTTATTTGTCTTTATGCTGCTCTTTTCCTTTTGTTTTGTGTGGCTGTTTTTGTAGCCGGTTGAGTCTGACATCGACAGCATGAAAAATAAAAGCTTGGATCAATTGGAATCCTTAATGCCTTGTCCAGGAGAGAGACAGAAAGCCAGCAGTTCGGGTAAGTAGTTTGTTAATTGCTGGCTTTCATTTGTTTCTTTTTTTCCAGGCATGCTCATGTGTATTATATTGTGAACTCGGGACCAACCCTCTGCAATCTGAAGCTGCTCTGTGGTTTCACTTGCTCTTTTCCATACAGTTTCTTTTTTTATTTTTTTATTTTCTCCGTATCATTCTGTGCTGCTGGTAGTTTGTGAGCTCCCATTGCTCTTGTAATTCTTGCTTAGCAGCCAGTAATTAGTTCTACAGTACTTCTCTCTTACCTTTGCTGGTGTGGGGGAAGTGTCTATATCTGTAGCAAATGTGGTCGGGACTATGTTTTATGTAAGAGTCTGGAATCCAATTCTAGTCTAGAGAAGGGTGTGAAGGTTACTAGGAATTAGGTTTTTATCTTTTTTCTTTGTACCTCCGTGGCAACTTCCATTGTGCACTTGTTGCCTTAAATGATAAATATATGACTCTCTCTCTCTCTCTCTCTCTCTCTCTGTGTTTGTGTGTGTGGGGCAGTCTTCTTGGTCACCAACGATACTTTTAACCTTGGAAGATTTGGAGCTTTTAGAATGGTACTCCAATTGCCAAGTGAATCAATTTAGTTCATAGAAACGTTCCAAGATGTTTCGCCCCTCAATTGGCATATGTGCAGGAGGCCTTTTTCCTCGAACAAGCTTAATTGCAGAATTAGTTATTCTTGATTGAGACGATCTGATGGATGAATCTGATTTAGTATATTCTAATATGGTGTGATATAGCAATGAGGTGTTTTTATCTTTACAGGTGATATGTTGATATATAGCAATGAGATGTTTTGGCTCCTCAATTGACATATGTGGTGTGTGCATACTTATATATTTATATAGAGGCTTACCAAATTTACTATTTTTGAACTTTAGATTTTTTGTCCACTTATATATAAACATATATTGACAGCATGGTGGTATTATTAGTGTGGGGGGAGGGAGAGAGAGATAGAGAGTCCTAACCCATTGCAAAAAAAAAAAAAAACAGAAAAAGAAAAAAGGTTTGACCCAGGCCATCCTTCTGGTCCGAAAATATTTGGGTTGGGCGCCATGGGTTGAAGCTTGATTTTGAGTTATCTTGGGCCAGCCCAACCCAAAGTCGGGTTGAGGTTGGGCTCGGATTGGGCTGGGTAGGGCCAGCCCAAGTTTTTACCCGTCAGAGGTATATGGAAGGGAATCCCCCTAAAAATATGGTCCTAAAGTTTTTTTTGAAGCTCCAACCTCGAGTTTATCAAAATCATCTTATTTTATCATTTCTTATCAATTCTACTCGTGTTAAATTTATTCTTACTGACCAAAGCTTAGATTGTTAAGCCGATTGGTACACTTTTACCTTTCAAAGTAAAAGGTTGAGTGTTTAAGTCTCTGAAGGATCAAAAGTGGTGGAGTGTGCTTCTGCCTCAAAAATGAAAAAATTGAAATGCTATTAACTGTAATAATACATTCTCAAGTTTGGTCAAATATTATATCGAAATATCTTTCGAAAATAATTATCATTTATATTGCAAATGTTTGTTCTGTTTTGCACTCACATTTGAAAAATTATTTTTGGATCACCACATTTTGCATGTTAAAAAGGGAAAAATTTCTCCTACTTTTTGGTTCAAGACAAAGTGTTAAAAATACTAGGACAAATTAGTCCTATTTTTGCAATTTTTTCCATCAAAGTTTTTTATAACCTATAATTTCTTACTTGCCCTTTTTATTTATTACCGTAGCCAACACCAGGAAAAAGGAGGTGGAGCTTTAGAGAGAGAGTGAACCACCACCACCTCTCCACTCTCCATTTCCAAGGCCAAAGCAAAACATAGAATTGAATTCAACCCGAAAACGCTGAACTTAGAGACTTACGCGACAAAGCCGAATTGGGTGTGCTTGAATCGGTTGGAGAAGACAGGACGGAGCTTGATTCGTCGGCAACGTTGCATAAAAGGGAGTTGGTTCGTACGATTGTGATACTCTGAATGCTTGATTCGTCGGAAACGTTACATAAAAGGGAGTTAGTTCGTACGATTGTGATACTCTGAATGACCGACAGAGCTCGATTCGTTGGAAATGTTGTGTGGAGTTAGTTCATACGATTGTGATGCTCCGAATGACCGAAACCTAACTGGGAGGGGGCATTGAACAAGCAATTTACCCATGCTAAATCACATCAATAATAGATAGAATTTTTGAGTCGATCTTGAGTGTATGAAGATTGTTCATATTGAAATCACCATATGTACAAATCATATGTTATTTACCAAACATGTTGTGGCCAAAAACAATGCTACAGCACTCCGCCCAAAAGTCAAAACACAAATTTATTTTTCTTACATGAATTAACAATTATATTTGTTAAACTTGCAATATTTTTTCGCGAAATATATTTTTATATTTTTGCTTTAAAAAAACTTAACCAATTTAACATAACTAAACATTTAACTATTAAACACACTCCACAAGGATTTATTGTGATGTAAAATAAGAAAAATAAGAAAAGAAGGTATCGAGTGTACAAGTGGTAATTTGTATTCGTGGATCATAATCGTATCGTGTCAATGCAAATGCAATGTACTAAATAGGTAAACCCAAACCCAACCCGTTTAATAATCGTGTGAGGAACTCTCAACATTAACCTGACCTGTTTTTTAAACGGGTTAACGCGTTAACCCATTTAATGACCTGTTTATCAAAACGAGACATTTAATATTCAATCAAATAATAAATACTAGAAAAAATTTGTCACAATTAACCTAAAAATTCAAAATAAGAAGAAAAATCATAAGTCGTAGTCAAAGTTTATGTTGAAATAACTTGATTGTCCATAATAATTAGATTTAAACAGGTAACATATTACATAGGTTATATTCACGATTATGACATGTTGAATTAAATAGGTATAAACGGGTTATATGGGTTGAATTCTTCAATTTTAAGACGATACGATTAAGTATTAATCCGTTTATGACTCGAACTCGTTTAAGGTTAATTCAAACCCGCTTATCTCGTGTCGTATTCGAGCCGTGTTGATAGATCGTGTCGTAATTTACAACCCTCACTTACAATTTAGTAAGATCTTAGTTTTGCTGTTATTTTGCCTGGACAAAAACAAAAAGAAAAACCAAAAGGCAAAATCCAAGTAACTAATTAAAAATTTTACTTTATTAGGGTTGTCACGGGGAAAGTTGTCAGTTGTGCATGACCAAATAAGAAATAAAAAAGCCCTTTGATTAAATCAAATGAAATGAAAGGCAAGACATTCATGTACCCATATTGTTTTTAATAGGAATGTGAACTCTCAATCTTTTGAAGTATCACTGGATTACAATATTTCATGAGTGTTCAATTGTTTATAACTTTAAGAAACTAACCCAAAAAAAAAAAAAAAAATCTTGAGAAAACAAATTGCAAAAACATATACGCATCATTTCATACCTTACTAAATGTCATATAGAGTTTTTTAATATACAATTATTAATATGGAGAGAAATTAAAGCCTCTACATTTCAGATTCAATTTTTTGCACTTCTCAACAAAGAATTTTTTAGAAATATATTTAGGTTGTGTTCGGTTTTATGAAATTAGAATATTGGAATTGGAATTTGTGTAATCGAAAAAAATTTTGGTTTAATTTTGTGAGTTGCTTCTCTCTAATTTCACAAATTTCAATTTCAAAATTTTAATTCCATACAACCGAACACAAAAAAGTACATTCGGCATAATGATACTCTTTTTTATAATTGAATAATGATTTGGAGTTCACAACTCCGACAGATTTATGTGAGTGAAGACTAATATCATCACGATGATATTAATATTCTTAACGTCGTAATGTTAATTTATCAGAATTTTTTGATGATTGGATCCCTTATCATTATTCTTTTAAAGTCTTTTGGATGTAATTATGATAACAATGAGAATAACAAATCAATTGTTTTTTCAAAATCTATATCTCTAAATCTATCTATATCAATTCTATATATACAGTATTATTAAAATAAAAATGAATACAAATTCTAAATTAAATAGTTTCGAATGAGATTCAAGGGAGCTTGCACGAGGAGAGATAACAATACAATCACCAAACTAATTAATTTCTCAAATATAACTTAAATCAATCACCAAATTAATTAATTTCTCAAATATAACTTAAATTTGAATAATAAAGCAATAGTTAGTATCGCTTTTGCTTATTCATTTCATTTTAAAAAATATGATTTTTTTCTCACTGCATTGCACGTGACCTTTTCTCACGTGCATTGCACGTGGTCCTTTTGCTAGTAGATTAAAATGTGGATAGACATCTCAAAATTACTGCAACAATTGATAAAATGAAAAGCTTATCATAAGTAGTTTGGTAGAGTACAGACAGTAGTTTGGTAGAATGCAAACACATCAACTAAATAGAGAGCTTATGAACATACAAACAAACAAAATAAATGAGGCAATAGGAATTTAACAAATACAATATATTGTTTAAATTTGATTGTGCTGTGTCTGCTGTGTATAAAACAAAGACAGTATATGAAGAAGAGCCAAATAATTGGCACGTGCCACACGTGAAATGCCGACTAAGCTTTGCTCATTCAAAGCTTGAGACTGAGCTGCCCACCATTGCCACACCCAAATAGGAAAAACGGTTCAAGCTAATTTACAAACTCTGATCCACAATTCTCGTCCCATTCCTTCACCATTTTCGCTCTATCTATCTAGGGTTTCCACAATCAATGCATATGTTTGTATTCTTTCAATGGTGAAAACCATCATTATTGACAACCGCCTTTGAACCACTCTCTGATCTGATCTTTTTTTTCTTTTTCTTTCTATAAACCCATTTTTGGGATCTGTGATTTGGTTTGTGAATTTTTCATATAGTTTTGATGGTTATGGGGAAGGTACAAGTGGGGGCAGCGGTGATATGCGCGGCCACGGTGTGTGCTGCGGCGGCGCTGATCGTGCGCCACCGCATGCGGTGCTCGAGCCGGTGGGCTCGGGCAATGGCAATTGTGAAGGAATTAGAAGAGAAGTGTGGGACCCCCATCGCCAAGTTGAAGCAGGTCGCAGATGCCATGACCGTGGAGATGCACGCCGGACTCGCCTCCGAAGGTGGGAGCAAACTCAAGATGATCATCAGCTACGTCGACAATCTCCCCACTGGGTAATGCCACTATGTGCATATCTTCACACACATTGTCTGTTTACATATGTAGTTTATGCGGGTGTGAGTTGTTCATTTGGTTTGTCCATCTCTTGTTATGCGAGAGTTTTAATAAATTAAAATGCTGCCAATAGAGTGAAAAGGAACTATGCATGGTCAAATTTCCAATAATAACAAAATTTGGATTTTTTTTTTTTTTTGGAATCTTGATTTGCTTCTCAGAGAAATGATTGAATCTCATGTAAATTCTGTACATATCTAACTATGAGTGATGTCATAAGTATTGCTAAGAATTCCTACACTAATTCCAAATTTAGGAATTTATTTGATTTTTAATTGAATGACAACAGATTCTTATCTTTTCCTTCTCTTTGTCAATTTGTTCTTACAATTCCAAATTAGTCAAAATTCTTTCCTGACTAACTTATGAACACATCACATTGTTTTCAGAAGTTTCTATCTTGAAAATCCTAAAGGATCCAGTACATGGGAATTTAGATGGATGGATGGATCAATCGACACCTACTAACTCTGATTGATATTTCGATTGAGCAAAATATGCGGAAATGGAGTTACCTTACCCCATTGGTTTTGAACTCTCTTAACTTTAATCAATTTCTTTTTTTTTAATCTGCAAGGTCACCACAAGTCTTCAGAAAATCTACGCTAAGAGAATACAAGTGTATGCAATCAAACACCAAGCTTTACAAGCATATTGAGTGCATTCCTAGCAATCTATTTGCTAGAGTTCTCTTTACTTTTACATTCATCATCAGACATCTAAATGGTGAATGTGATTTGAGTGTTGAAACATTAACACTCTTAATGCTAAAAGGATTCTCAACACCGGAAGCATCTTCCATGCGACAACAAGGAACATATTTTACTAGGCATTGAATCAATGTGCTATAGGAAGAGCAGATCGTGTGAGGAGTGGATTTGTTGGCTGGCAGGAACAAGAGCTTGTGTGGAGCATCTAGCATTCTTAAGTTGGAGTCTGGTTAACCTAGTTGTAAAGCTTTCTTCATAGTTGATTTGATCTATTTATAGTAGGTCCTTCGGTTTTTCCTTGAGGGGGTTTTCATGTAGAAATCATGTTCATGTGTGGATGTCTTTTACCCTTTTTATGTGTTTATGTGTTTATGCGTCTATGCTTCTATGCTTTATATTTTTTACATCATGAATGATTTTTACATGCTTGTATAGTTGCAATACAAAATTTAGTTAAAGGGAGTTTAAAATTTGAATTTTTGTTAAAGATCGTTAATTGGTTGGTGTTCTAGCCCTAGTTCGAGCCTTCTATGCACTCTGAGTATCAGAGCCTGTGATTATGGTCCTGTTTCTTCGAGCTGTATTTATTTTTGGTTTGAAAAATCATTTTACTCAGTGGAATAACCAAGTTTCTTGCTTGGATACAATAACAGTGCAATATTTGTGATCCCACCAAATTTTTGTTTCCTTAGATTTCATATTTGTTATGGAAGTGTCCTTTTGAACTTTAGTCTGGATTAGATAAATTATCACCGACCTTTCTTATCTTAAAGATACAGCATTTCTGCTCAAGCTATGCAGTTACAAACAGAATGGTCAATAATTAATATATTATAATTCATACCCCTTGATATAGTTTTGTGCTATTTATAATGCAAATAAAGTAACTGCTGCTCATAACTACTCATTGGGTCAAACCTCAATATATTGTGGTTGACTATAACAACTATAATATAATTATACAAGAAGCCAATAACATATTTCTTTTTTAAAATCTATTAATCCTATAAGCATTCATATATACATGTAATGACATATAAAATTTAATAATATGTATTGTTTCTATGCCAAAGTTGATCTGCTAATGTTGCCAATTAACGAGCCTGAATCTGGTCCTCCTGGCCTGGCATTCCTCTATGGTTAACCCATGCCTGGTCTTGAATTTTGTGTAGCTACTAGACTAATAGGAAAGGCAAATCATGATTGACCTGCGGTTATACCAACAAATGAGCTGTGAGCATGCAAGACTTGTTCTTTTAAAACAAATATTATTGGGTTTTCTTGCATGTAGTATCCCCAATTAAAGTGCTTTAGAAGTGAAATTGTTATAGTACAGAAGTTTTGCCACGTGTGGCTTGTTTTAAAACTGTTTGCACTCCACATCATGTACAAATTGAGGCAGCATTTAGTATTTAGGGTATTCTCCTGAGCCGTATGTACCCCAAAAGATAAATACATTTTTACTTACATGTCATATTTTGCTCTTTCCGCACCAATCACTGTTCACCTTCTAGCTTTTCTTATAAAGTGCTTCATGTAAATGGTCAATTCAAAGAACTATTATGTAAGAGCACATAAACCTTTTACCATTGGGAATTATAGATTAATTTTATATATTTTCTAAGATTATTTTTTAAAGAATATATAGAGAGGAATGGAAACATAAAAATTAATGTAGCCGACCGCATGTAGTTGAGAAAAAGGCTTGATTGTTGTCGTTGTTGTTTATTATTTTAAAGAATATATCCATGAATGATGAATGTCATGAAAAGGTATTTTTTTTAATTTTTTTAGTGATGAGAAAGGATTGTTTTATGCATTGGACCTTGGTGGGACAAACTTCCGAGCGTTACGAGTGCAATTGGGAGGAAAAGATGGTGGAATTGTTAATCAGGAATTTACTGAGGTGTCAATTCCTCCTAATTTGATGGTTGGGTCTTCGGATGTAAGCGTTTGTTCTCTTCAAATTACTATCCATGCTAATTCATACTGGTCATTGCATAAGTTCTCTGAATTCTCAAAGTGAATGTGATTTCAGGCACTTTTTGATTATATTGCAGCAGCACTTGCAAAATTTGTTGCTGAAGAGGGTGAAGATTCTGAACTTCCTCCGGGTAGGCAGAGGGAACTGGGTTTTACCTTTTCATTCCCTGTGATGCAAACGTCAATTGATTCTGGGACTCTTATTAGGTGGACGAAAGGCTTCTCTATTGATGACACGGTTAGTCCTGATTGCTTGGTCCCATTCTATATTTTATTATTTAGATTATCCCTTTGGTTTTGAATTAAATTGATATCAACACCATAAAAGAATTTTAATATAGGACAGCTCAAAAATGTCAAAAGAATTCTATATCTTGTGAATACATGTTGAACTCTTTTGTTCCATTGTCTGTAAACCTCCATTAAGACTATAACAGTATAACAACGAGAGGTGTTCTTTCTTTTATTTTTTTTTTTCAATTTTTTTTCAGTTATAAATATCAACTTGCAAAAGAGAGAGAACTTTTTCACTATATATTCAAATTTTAATATAGGTATTGTTATGCATGGTTTAAATCTGTATTCTTGTTAGATTTTGCACAGATTGAAACTGGAGTTCTTATTGGCTACTGTTAACTTAGGCTTTTGAAGAATACATCAACTATATTTAAGAAAATGTTTTTACTTATGGCTTGAAGTCGAGCATTAGTTTATCTTTAAATGGAACTAATTTATGAAATTTGATGAAAGTTCAACACCATAATTTGCCTGAAAATCCAATGTATTACTGTTGTGGCTACTGGCTTTGGAAAAAGGTTTTGATTCACCATCCAACCAGGGCGTAGGGGATGCAAAGTAAGTTTGAAACACATAAAAGATGTGTTAAGTAACAACGGCTGTATCTTACATTCTTACTGCATTTGATAAGATCACTCTTTTGCTGAGGTAATAACAATATAGGTTCCTCATCATGATCTCCGTCCTCTTGTATCCTTGCCTTTACCCCGAGTTATCTTGGTTTTGGTTCTATATAGGGTTTTGTATTTCTTTGTCTAAACATGAGCCGGGTTGCTTGATTTGATGAAGCCTTTGTCTCCTTTAGTCCACCTCTTTCCTTTAAGTGACTTCGTATAGTCAACTTAGGGTTCCCCCATTCATTCAAGATACTACTCATTGGGAATGATGTAGGGGCAACCGTTGGTTTGAATCGAAGATGTAAAATGTAGAGATTAATTTAGTTACCTTTTACCTTTTTTTAAATATATTTTTTTAATTTTAAAAAGTAAGTCTTTATATTCCCTTCCCTTTTTGCATATGTGGTTCATCGGTGCTCTACTTCTCTTTGCAGCTTATGGGATCTACTCAGATCTGCACTTCTGCAGATCTATCTTCTAGTGCTTTTTGGGAGAATTTCACCGATTTGAGTTTCTTTTTGTCCTGATTTCTTGTGCTGATCCGATGTGATTTCAATTCAGTCTATTCTGCTTTAATATGTCAATATATTCACCAATTTGTTGCTGTTTGAATCTGTGGCTCATCTATGCTGATTATTTGCCTAGTTTTTATTAATGAGAGCTATTCTTTGTTGTCATAAAGTCATGGGATCCAAATAATTTTTCTGAACTGGATGGACCAATATTTAATCCAGGATTGGAACAGTCTTATTTGTCTTCTTAGTGCTGTTTTATGTTGTCAAGCCATACAGAAAAAGAGAAATAAAAAATGTCACTTTCATGCATTAAGAACAATTGTAGTCGTGTGAAGGATGACCTTTTTATATGTTTGTAATTCTTGTTAAAAGATTGGATGTGTATAAAACTAATAGATTCATACCTTTTGCCCCTTGTTCCATTCCACCTGCTAGCATGCTTATTAGTCATTTCCATGAATTTATTAGTTACTTATGCCTTGATGATGATAATCAACTTTGTTTAAATCACATAACTAGTGGTTAAGGTGCTATAGAATTTGCATTTATCACTTATTAAAAAAAAAAAAAAAGGAATTTGCATTTTTCTCTCTATCATTGTGAAGTATGTTCATGTGAAAACATATAAATTCCGTTTCTAGAATTGTAGCATCCCACGCTCTCTTCAAATTTGAACCGCATCATCTGTAGACAGAATTTACTAAAGGAGTATTTTTCTGTTAAATGAATACTATCTACTAAATTAGTAGATATACCATTTGAATTAGTCAGCAGCAGTGTGAAGTAACTGTTGAAATCATTAACCAAATTAATTTACTCTGGAGGATACTATTCAATTTTGTATTAATCACAAATATCTGGGATAATTTTTTGGTTCATGAGGATGACCAAACAGAATTTTGTTTCCTGACCACCCTTCATTTTTTCCTGCCTGAGTTCTCTGAGTTTTTGGGTGAATAGGTTGGCCAAGATGTGGTTGCAGAACTGGCAAAAGCCATGGGAAGACATGGCATTGAAATGCGTGTGTCAGCTCTGGTAAGTTGGAAGTTGGTGGTTATCCATTAAGGACACTGATGCTGATTTTGAGAAGAAGAAACTATGTTTCTTGTGCTTGCTTTTGTTGTTCTCTTAATATGTTACTCCAATGACTCATTCCTTTCCTGGTTGGTAGCTTTTCAATTTATAAGTTCTTAATGGCATTGACACTAGGTCAACGATACAATTGGAACATTGGCTGGTGGCAGATACTTCAACAAGGACGTTCTTGTTGCTGTGATATTGGGTACTGGTACAAATGCAGCATATGTTGAACGTGCCCAGGCAATACCAAAATGGCATGGTCCTCTGCCTAAATCAGGAGAGATGGTTAGATGCTTTTCAGTGGTTATTTTTCACCTTTTTTTTTTTTTTTTTTTCTTGGTCTTAGTTATTATTAATTAGAATGTTGATAAGGTTCAAAATCGCTATATATAATTGGAGGAATGTGAATGGAACATTGAAGCCCATATAATGTAATACTGTAGGTTATCAACATGGAGTGGGGTAACTTTCGGTCATCGCATCTTCCCTTAACAGAGTATGATCATGCAATGGATACTGAAAGTTTGAATCCTGGTGAACAGGTGACGTGCGCTCTTCTTATATTTGTAACTTGTCTTTGCTTTGTGTCTGATTAACACAGTTTTCTAATTTCTGAAAATCCTTCAATTTATTTTTACAGATTTTTGAAAAGATAACTTCTGGTATGTATTTGGGAGAAATTGTTCGCAGAGTTCTATGTAGGATGGCTGAGGAAGTTGCCTTCTTTGGTGACACGGTTCCACCGAAACTTAAGGTTCCATTCATATTGAGGTATACCTTTAAAGCTATTTTTTGATGGACCACATTTAAATTGTTCATATATCCTGTTGTACAATAAAAAATTTATTTACATTGTTCTCTATAATAGTGATGTATTGGTTTAATTACAACAAGAGCTCTTTTTACTTTAAGCACTTCTGAAGTTTGTCTTATGCATCCTTACTAATGAGATGTTTGCGAAGAGAGTCCTGAAGTTGACTTCACTTGTCAGTATTTGATTAAATTGAAACCAAATTGATTTTTTGGTTTGAAATTAGAGGCAGTAAGGCTTGGTCCTGTAAATTATGTTAGATGAACTTTGTGTCACCTTCAACGTGCCCATGCAGCTGTGTCGGACACGACACCACTTGGGTATGATTATAGGGGAAAAATGTTGGGCTTTAAAAAGGAAACTGGTACAATACTTTCATGTAGCGTAAATGAGAATGCTAAGATGGATGGTCGGAGTGACTAAAAAAGATATGGTTACTAATGAGAGTGAGAGAAAAATTAGGTGTAGCGCTCATTAGTGAGAAAATAAGAGAAAGTAGACCTGGGTTTTATAAACATGTACAACAAAGACCTATAGATGTGCCAGTAAGAAGAGATAAATTAGTTCACATAGAAGGCAGGAGGCTAAGAGGACGACATTATTGTAGGATGGAATTATTAGAAATGAATTTAAAAAATAAATACTAGGGGTGGGATGACTTGTAATAGAAAAGAATGGAAAAAGAAAATTCATGTGGCCAACTGTAACGGGTGGGCGCTTGCCCATTTACCCAAAAGCACAATCTGTTGGGTAGTAGCTGCATACCCACCCATTTATACCCATGTCACTTCCCATCAGAATCCGATGTGGGACAAGTCTCCCCTTGTAACGTTCTCCCCCCCCCGAACCCACGCAACGCCCTCATTGCGGTCAGACCACCCTGCCTACCCGGGGTGAATACCCGGACGCCCTCCGGGCCGGGTGCTTGGTACCGGATCAAGGATTGGGCTTGGCTCTAATACCAACTGTAACGGGTGGACGCTTGCCCATTTACCCAAAAGCTCAAGCTGTTGGGCATTGGTTGCATACCCACCCATTTATACCTATGTCACTTCCCATCCGAATCCGATGTGGGACAAGTCTCCCCTTATAATACCAACCCTATTCATTTGGGATTAAGGCAGTTGATGATGATCAATTATTTTCGTTACAATAGAAAATACTCTCGCATTAAGAAATAACTCAACACATTAGAGTTACGTGATTTACTTAATAATATCCATTTCTTACACGTTTTAGAGGATGTGTCATAGCACATTTTTATGAACATGCCGACTAAGATGAACATGAATGTCTCCTTGTCAAAGATTCAAATGGATGTAGCTTGCTCTGAAGTTGAAGACAGTAGTTCTTAAGAATGCCAGTTCCGTTGGGTGGATCCGTTTGGGCGATCTTAAGATATTTTGCAGGAAGATGAAGACTTGTAGTGAAAGGTGCTTTCTGGTGGATTAATGGGTCTCAGCTTCTGCATTAGCTTCTTTCAGAGCTAGCTATAAAAAGGGCTGTAAATTTTGTGAGGAGTTAATATTAAGGATTCAGATGGTATTAGGTATGGGGACAACTCGAGCATGAAGGGATGACAACTCAATGAATTAGTTATTCCAAATTTTACATGATTAGTGTCCAGTCCCAAAAGCTATTCTCTTGTAAATTACGCCACAATCCTTTGTAAGCATTCTCTGCTGACAAAAATCTCATCAAGAATGTAGAAACTGAAGGGAAATTTTTATTACTATTTTGTTATTACAAGATCAATCAGAGACATTACATGATACCAAGAGAGACAACAATTGTATTAAAATGCCTCATCTGATATAGTCTCCAGGTCTGAAACATGGTTAAACTGTTCCATCAGGTGCCTTTCTTTGGCTTTGGTTCAGCGTTAGGAGTATGGTAAACTGTTGTCCTATGTTTCTAAATTTTGAAAGAAATATGTGGATGAGAAATAAACTTCTGGTATATAATGAAACCAACAAACACACAAACTCATTCAGTTGTATATTATGATCTTGTGGCAGTTTCACAAGTTTTGCGATTTTTCTAGTCTCTGCTGCCAGTTTTGTTTCTATATGTCTGTTCTTACACTTTCTTTGTGTCTACTGACTCGTGGATAAACTAATTCCTTAGATTATGTTATTCTCATCTTCGTTTGTGACATGCATAATTTTAGTTATCATGATCAAAATTTGCCGAAGTGACATTCTTAGCTGTGGATATGCAGGACACCTGAAATGTCAGCAATGCATCATGACACATCCTCCGATCTCAGGGTGGTTGGAACCAAATTGAAGGATATTTTAGAGGTATAACTTTTTTCATGCAACAGTTTTAATTATTCAACACTTAAAATTTATACTTTTCATCTTTCCTTCTAAAGAGCTTCCCATATGCAACAGTGCTATTGTGCTTTATCTTTGACCGGGTCCATTTCACAGCTTTTTTTCCTGTTCTGCTTTTTATAAGAAATCTTTTTGGAGCCACATTCAAATCCGCCTTCTTAATTCCTTCTATCAACATACTGGAAATTGTAAGCATAGAATGGTCCTTCATTTTCAGTGATATAGCTTCGACCAGGTTGTAGTTATGCAATAATGTTGTGAGTGAGAATATTTTGTTTAATACTAGTCCAACAGTAGGAGAAAAAAAAAAAAAAAAAACGACATTCATTAGTGCTTAGTAAGGATCATTGGGTGTGCATTTAAATATGTTTCTTGCCTTTTTTCCTTGTGTTTCAGATTTCTAATACTTCCCTGAAGACGAGGAAAGTTGTGGTTGAGCTCTGCAATATTGTTGCTACGCGTGGGGCCCGGCTCGCGGCTGCTGGGATCTTGGGCATCCTGAAGAAAATGGGAAGAGATACTCCAAGGGAAGGGGAGATACAGAAGACAGTGATAGCCATGGATGGTGGTTTGTATGAGCACTATACTGAATTCAGTAAGTGCATGGAGAATACTGTAAACGAGTTGGTTGGAGAGGAAGTGTCAAAAAGCATTGATATCATTCACTCCAATGATGGCTCCGGCATCGGAGCTGCTCTTCTGGCTGCATCACATTCCCAGTACCTTGAAGTCGTGGATTCTTGAGAATGGTCAGAGCCAATGAAATTTTGCTAAATAAAATCTCTTATTTGCTTTCTTTCGCATTTTTACTTATATTAATTCAATCTTATTGTTCTTTCTTTTGTAACCTTTCTAGGAAATTCATTTACTTGCTTTTCCCATTTCATTGTTTAGGATATTGTTGAGTACATGAATCCTTAAATGTCTTCGTCACACTACATATGTCCGTTAGGGGATTAATTTGTAAACCCAGGACCTGGAACCGGCCTTGCTCTTCTGCTTTAGCCGACCATTCTGTTTTGGTATATTTCGGGATAATACTAGGGGGGATTTAATTGAGTTTCTCACTAGGTATTTATTCTGTGGACTAAGTTTTTACAAACTCACGTTTGTGTGGTTTTAACATGTCATGACCTAAAAGTCATGGGTTCAAATCAGGAAATAACCTCTCTGCATGCAGAGATAAAATTGCACATATTTAAACCTCCAAAGACCCTGCAGTAACAAGAGTCTCTTGCAATGAGCTAGCTCCATGATTATGCTTGAATTTATGTTCTTAATGAACTTGATCATCTCATAGTCACTCCAAAGTACGTCCTTCAATCATATTGTACAATTGTATTAAAAACTAATGGAACGTGGACAAAAAGGGTGAAGATGAGTTAATTTTTTGGGTAGTAGTCTTGATGTCTTATCCAGTGTTGGAGCGAGGAATTCCCTTCAGCGGGGTAACTTTTGATAATAATATATTAATAAAATAATTTAAAATAAGATAAGTAATATAAAATTATAATATTGATATCAATATATTTTTTCATTATGGTTTAAATATTGAGTTCTTAAATTAAAATTATTTAACAATTCACATTTAATGGATGAATAATGAAATAGTATGGTTAACTTAATTCAAGATAACATCATAATTATATATGATAATTAACATATTTAATTTTAAAATATAACTAAAATTTCTCAAGTATGGGTCATATTTTAATTTTATTTATTACTATTATTTTTTAAATAAAGAATGTACGAGTCTTTTTGAAATTTTGAGTAGGTAAAAGGGGTCTTTTTAAAATTTTTATAGGTATTCAGTTTGGGAATTTATATACTTAACTAAAAAAATTGTTTGCTATACATGTATATAGATGTGTGCTTTTGTGTTCTAGCTTTATGCGTGATTGTTTTGTGATTTTCCTTTCTAACGCAGTGCAACGGCCAGTTGTTACGTTGGTAAATAAGAATGGTGAATGCATTTTGAATAAATGCTTGATCAAATATTTGAGATAGCACACTGTTTGCTTCCTTCTCTTTGTGTTTTTGTTTGTGAGATACCCCTACTGTGGTTGTAAGCTGCTAGGCAGCCTTATTGTATTTTTTTTTTTTTAGTGTTCGAATTACCGCAAACGACTTCCAAAAATTCCAAATAACAAGAAGAAATCAAGACTTGAAGTTTGTTTAAGAAAATAAAAGAAAAATAGCAAAGAAAAGGGTGAGAGAGAGCTAGGGGAGAGAGAGAGAGAGAGAGTGAAAGACTAAATGTAGTCTCTAGGCAACCAAGTATGTGAGTGGTGGGTCTCACCACCAACATTTTCAAACTTTGACTTTTCTTTTTCCACCACATATATAAATATGCAACAATTATACACATACCATATAAAACACATGATGCACATAAAATAAAATATATGATATGCAAATGGGCCTAACTAAAATCCCTGTACTCGACAACAATACCGGTAGCGGGTCCCACACGGGTTCGTCCGGTTCGAAAAATGAAAAAATACCAAAATGACCAACCTTGCATTTTCAAGAGCCCTGAATTCAATGGAATACTCCAAACAACTCACCGACACACCCGACACACCCTGCGGTGTTCGGTACGCAAAATGTAAAAAGACGAAAATGCCCTTGCATCAACAAAATTCCCAGAAAAATGAAAAATGGCGAAAAATGAAAATATCACAATCTCCCCAACTTAAAAGGATTTCGTCCCTAAAATTAAGTCATACCTGGGGAAGAAAACAATGCTAGATACTTGGAGCGAACCTCCTGTTCAAGCTCCCAAGTAGCCCCCTCGACCCCGTGGTGTCTTCAAAGAACTTTCACTAACGGTATCGTCTTATCCCTTAACACCTTTTGCCGTGTGTCAAGGATCTGAACTGGTCCCTCTTCATAGGAGACATCCTCATCAATATCCACATCAACCCAATCCAAAACATGAGATGGATCCGGTTCATACTTCCGTAGCATCGACACATGAAAAACATTATGAACCCTGTCCATCTGCGGTGGCAATGCAAGTTTGTAGGCAACCTCTCCTATGCGATCCAAAATCTCAAATGGTCTAATGAATCGTGGCGATAACTTGCCACTTTTCCCAAACCTCATCAAACCCTTCCGTGAAGAAACCCGTAGAAAAACATGGTTTCCCACCTCAAAAGATAGCGGTCGTCTTCGCTTATCCGAATAGCTCTTCTGTCGGCTCTAAGCTGTAAGCAGTCTCTGTTTAATCAACTTAATTTTCTCAATAGTCTCGAGTATTAAGTAGGGTCCTAAGGCGGCTGTCTATCCTACCTCAGTCCAACAAACTGGAGACCTACAAGGTCTGCCATACAACGCCTCAAATGGGGCCATCTCAATGCTCGCCTGATAACTGTTGTTGTAGGCAAACTCAATAAGTGGTAGATGGTCTTCCCAACTACCTCCCAAATCAAGTATACATGCCTGAAGCATATCCTCCAAGATTAGGATAGTATGCTCCGACTGGCCGTCCGTCTATGGATGGAATGCCGTGCTAAGGTGCAACGCTGAACCAAACGCTGTTTGAAGTCCTTCCTAGAACTTTGAAGTGAACTTGGCATCCATATCCGAAACAATAGTTACTGGAACTCCATGTAACCTCACAATCTCCTTCACATATAGCACACCAAGTGCCTTTACGTCATTTGTTGCCTTAATAGGCAAGAAGTGGGCCGTCTTGGTCAGTCTATCAATGATGACCCATATGGCCTTATTGCCCCTTCGGGACTTAGGAAGACCTATCACAAAATCTATAGCAATCTGCTCTCATTTCCATTGCGCTACAGGCAATGGTTGCAACAAACCTGCTATCTTCTGATGCTCGGCCTTCACCTGTTGACAGGTAAGGCATTTAGCCACAAACTGTTCAACATCCTTCTTCATTCCATTCCACCAATACTGACGTCTCAAATTGTGATACATTTTAGTACCATCTGGATGAATTGCAAAGCGGGAAGTGTGAAATTCCCGTAGAACATCCTCCTGACAAACTATGGGAACAACGAACAAATCCTTGTACCGTAGACCTCCATCTGCATGTAAGGTTCAATCCTTCACTGTCTCACCACTCGAGATCAAAGCATGAATGACATCCAAATCCGGATCCTATCTCTGTGACTCAATCATTCGTCTGACAAGAGTAAGCTGAGCCACAAGACTAAACAAGAATGCCGATTCACTGCAAACATCATCATCAAAACAGTACAATCCCATTTATGCCAGATCCTTAAGCATCGTCCATTTCCGAATGGCTAAATTAGCCAAAGTTCCTCAAGATTTCTGGCTTAAGGCATCAGCTACCACATTTGCCTTGCTCGGATGATATTGCAAGTTAAAATTGTAATCTTCGAAGAATTCAACCCACCGTCTCTGTTTGTTGTTCAAGTCCTTTTGGAAGAAAAGGTACTTGAGACTCTTGTGATCTGAGAACACCTCAAATCTCTCATCATATAAGTAATGTCTCTAACATTTCAAGGCAAACACAATTGCCGCTAATTCCAGATCATGAGTAGAGTAGTTGTACTCATGAGTCTTCAATTGTCGAGACCCATAAGCCACTGCTCTACCATATTGCATCAGCACACAACCTAAACCATCACGCGAAGCATCACAATAAATCACATAACCCAAGCCACGCTCAGGTGTCACCAACACTGGAGCCGCAGTCAACTTTGTCTTTAATTCCTGAAAGGATGACTCACAGGCTTCATTCCACATAAACTTGATCCCTTTCCAGGTCAAACGAGTTATAGGTGTTGCCAAACGGGAAAAATCCTTCACAAATCTACGATAGTAACCCGCTAGGCCAAGAAAACTCCAGCTTTTAAAAACATTCTTGGGTTGCTCCCAAGTCAAAACCGCTTCAATCTTTGATGGATCCACTGACACTCCTCCTTTTGAAACAATATGCCCCAAAAATATCACCTCTTGTAGCCAAAACTCATACTTCTCATATTTGGCATACAATCGGTGTTCCCGTAAAATCTGCAATACAATACTCAAATAGACTTTGTGCTCCTCGGGTCCGTGAATGCACAAGAATGTTATTCATCAAAACTACCACTAACTGGTCCAAGTAATCGTGAAAGACACGATTCATCAAGTCTATGAATGCCGCTAGCACATTAGTCAAGCCAAAAGGCATAACAAGGAACTCATAATGTCCATACCCTGTACGGAACGCCGTCTTCGTGATATCCTCATCCCTAACCCGCAACTGATAATAGCCTGATCTTAGGTCAATCTTTAAGAAACAACTAGCTCCCCTTAACTAGCCAAACAAATCATCTATCCTTGGCAAATGATACTTGTTCTTGATGATGGCATGATTTAAATTCCGGTAATCAATGCACAACCACAAAGAACCATTTTTCTTCTTAGCGAACAAGACCGGTGTGCCTTATAGTGACACACTCGGTCGGATGAAATATTTCATCCCAATTCATCAAGCTGCTTCTTTAATTCTTCCAATTCAATGGGTGCCATACGATACAGTGCCATAGAAATTGGCGCGGTACCTGGCATCAAATCAATAATGAACTCCACTTCTCGGTGTGGAGGCAGCTCTATCAAATCCTCTGGAAAAACATCCAAGAAATTACGAACAACTGTAGGATAATCCTCTTCCACAGCATCATCTTTTTCGGCTAAAAGACTAGCCAAGAAGTAATTACCACGACCTTGTCCACGAATTTCATAAAATAATGGAGTGTGGGAATCACTCCGATCTCCCATGAAAAAGAAACAGTATCCCTCAGGAGTGCAAACCGTGACTCTTCTTCTGAAACAATCGATCGTAGCACGAAATGAAGTTAACCAATCTATCCCGAGAATGACATCAAAGCCAGTCATCTCAAGGAGGATAAGATCAAACGCGAAAGTCTGCCCGGCTATTATGATGGAACAATCTCTCACAACTCAACTCAAGGACGATGAAACCCCAACTGGCGTATCATCACACAATGCCCGATCCATGAAGTTGATATCTAACCCCGATGCAAGTGCAAATGATGATGCAATAAAGGAATGAGATGCACCAGAGTCAAAGAGAATACGAGC